TGTTCGGTCTTCGTAATGGTTATCTATGATCTCTGTGATATTAACTGTTAGGAAATATATTACTTCTCAAAAATTTAGACTCCAAATAGATAAAATTTTCATTTTAACATTAACTATTTCGAAATTTCAAACCACTTGTGTATCGTGAAATCAGAAACCATAAACCTCTCATCACGAATGAAAAATAATAATGAGTATTTACTAAAACAGAATGTGTGGCAAGTCCATTTGACCACTGTATCATTTGTCTACTCATTGTAACTCAGACACTTAATTCATCATGTTAATTTCTGTGTGCATTTCAGACTCCTTACGACGGTCCTTTTAAAATCATCCAAAAGGACACTAAAACGGTTACACTGAAAAGAGCAGGTAACACATGATACTGTTAGCATCGACAGAGTAAAACCGGCATTATTAGAGAACACTGAAAAAACAGACAACTGGAAAACCGTCTAATCCTGCAGTAGAGCAAGCACCATTCAAACCACCTGCAACAAACAATACTTCACATCAAAGTTCGACAGCAGAAACTACAACAAGATCAGGAAGAAGAGTACACTGGCCAGATAGGTATGTAGCAACCACCATACTTATCTAGACCAAATCCAGAGACTACTCTTATAACACAAAAAAATCCTACTTTATTTTGATTACTATTTTTTATTATTGGCCTCACGGATCGTCATTATGCCTACATTTTAACCTTATACAATTCGTTGATGTTAAATATACACTTGTATATACATGATATGAAACGTTTCAACACACAAGCTGTTATTGAAATTTAACGCTTACTCATCATATTGTATTGTACTTTTATTTTAAGAACAATTCCGTTCTTTATCTCTTTTCGAACATAGATGTTAATCAAGTTTTTTTTGTACATAAAAACATCGATGTTCTGGATGGGGGCTTATGTGGCAAGCCCATTTGACCACTGTATTATTTGTCTACTCATTGTAACTCAGACACTTAATTCATCATGTTAATTCTGTGTGCATTTCATACTCTTAATTCATTATGTTAATTTCGGTGTGTATGATCGAATGCATGTTGTACATTAACCCTTAAAATATCCTCCTATTGGTTGCTATGTCCTGACAATCGATAATTTATCCACACCCGATTAACTCTCAAAAATAGATATGGATTTTAAACACACACACATACACACTCACTCACTTTGTTTCATCGTTTGCTTTTTTTTATTAATTACTAACAATAAATTATCTCGACAACTGGTGTTCAGGCTTCTGAATAATCTCGAGTAAATCCGTAATTCTACTAGGAGATTAGGCCTACGTTAAATACTCAATTTACGGGATATTATTTATTGAAGTCAGATATTGAGGACATTAGCCTCAACAAGTGTATAAATACTCAGTTTCCCCATATATCCCCATCTGTTAAATCTGGGACTAAAACCTTTGATTTCCTGTTATCCTCTTAGTAGTTTAAAGCTTGGGTTAAGATTTATTGGTGACGTAGTAAAAGTCTAACTGAAATCTATTTGCATTGCATTGATTTATTACATTAACGTTTCTTTTCACTATTGAGCTGATATTTTAACTTCAAAAGTTAGAGTTGAATCATAGTACTAATTGTCTTGTAAGTTGGTCTTGTCTGAAATAATTAACACCATGTATAAGCATTCAGTATGAAAAGTTTTATAAGTAGATGCTAAGTTAGAAAAACACCATAATAATCCAAGTTATGTAGTGAATTCATATTGAATGTAAGGGTTTTTTATAATGACATCAAAATCAGGTAAATCAAACTTTCATTCCTAGTCTAATTGCTTTTGTCATTTATAAGCTTGATAAAGTCTTATGGATAACAATATATCAAAAAACGTTTATCTCTGGTTGTACTATATCCAATGTAATATTAGAAATAGTTTACTGGAGTTTTAGACAAATGAAGCTAAACCGTGTCGGATATGAAGCATTTATTCACAGAAAACAATAGAACGTGGTCACACAATATCATAGATTGATTAGAGTTAGTTATTAACACTGTTAGGTGCCGGCTCATTGGTCAATTGGCTAAGTTTCCGCGCGTGAGACCGAAGGGATCGTAGATATGCACTGTTGATGAATCTCCTGCTAGGACGAAACGGTGGTTCAGCGTCTTTATACTTTCGATGCTGATCTAACTTAGATCAGTTTATGATTTTAAAAAATCCAATAATCTTCGTAACCTTGTACTGATATTATTTAACCCTAGGTTATTCGGAACCCTTTCAATGTTCAATAAATGTGTTGTATACAATACTCCCAAATATTGTTTCGTTAATTTAATAAATAAGTACTAAATACTAAGATATAGTTTTTATCTGATATTTCACTCCAACCTGAACTACAGTATATTCAATACTAATCGTCTTGGATCAATTCGGTCATGTAGAATGTATGCAGCATTGATTCAATGAACAACAACACATAATTGGATAATCTCAACCATAATGATTTTCATAATAACCCTGAAAGAATAATTCATCTGTTTTGTACTTCATTTATATAATTTCATTTTATTGATGATAACATATCATTTCGTTACAGTGTGCTCTTATCTTTTCAAATAATCTCGCGAGGTGGTATCGTGGATGCGCACTACTGAGGAGTCCCCCAATTGAACGAAACAGCCATCCAGGTTTTCTATGGTGATCTAGCTTTAATTGACTCATGATCTCAACCATTGAAACCGTTCTAATATCAGAAAGGGGTTTTGTGGATTTTATAGTATTATATTATAGTTGAATTCATGAGACAATTGAAGCTAGACCAACATGGAAAACCTAGAAGCACTGAACGGCTGTTTCGTTCAAGTATGGGATCTTTTAATACATAATAATAATTAATTTAAACAGAATTTTTCTATGTTTCATCTAGTTCAATGTAAACGCTTAAATTCAATATCTTTCTTTTCTTAAAAAAAAAGAGAACATAACGCTTGAACTTGTCTGATTTTCCCTATTCTCCATGTTTATATCATTTCATATTGATTACTATAATGAATAGAATTTGTATTTATCTATTATGTGAATACATAAGGAATCGAAAAACAATGAGAAATATAAACACAATGAACGAATTCCCAAATGATGAATATATGTATATATAATTTGTCCGATTGTCTGTGAATCCCTTTGGGGATGATAGAAGTACGCAAAAAAAAGAAAAACGGGACAAATTCAACCTTGAATAACAGATGATTGTTTAATTATAGTGACCAAATCTAATTATAATGAAAAAGAAGCTGTAATATCAAGGGATTTTATCACAGACGGTTGATCTTTTTTGTTTAAATAAAATCAAAAGGGATATTCCCATTATTAATATTATTATTACTACTACTACTACCACTATTATTACCATTACTATTATCTCAATAGTTGAAATAATGAGTCAATTGAAGCTAGACCACCATGAAAACCCTGGAAGCACTGAACGGCCGTTTCGTCCAATCGCGGGACTCCTCAGCAGTGCGATCGCGTGCGAGACTGATAGGTTCTGGGTTTGAATCTCGCGAGGCGGGACCGTGGATGAGAACTGCTGGGGAGCCCCATACTAGGACGAAACGGCCGTCCAGTGCTTCCAGGTTTCCTATGGTGGTCTAGCCTTAATTGACTCATGATCTCAACCATTAAAATTACTACAATATCTACAAAAACCCTTCTGATACTGAATATCAACTATGTAATCAGAAGTTTATCATTATTTAGTAAAGGTTTGATGCCAATTTTATGAGTATAGACCAAATTAAGTGTATATCAATTGCATTAGATGATCAGTTATTAGTTTCTATTAAATACTGTACACTAGAATTTGGTATAATAATAATAATAATACTGCTAATAATAATAAGAGTAATACTTTTGAAGAAGAGATGATCGCTTTCTAGTGACAGCCTATTCAATGAAGTTGTTTCATAGATATAGTTCATCATTTAGGTAATTAAATCTTGTATGCATTAGACTGTATGAAATGAAAATGAAAAGAGTATTGAAGTTCTTAATTGAAACTTAAAATTCAGGAAACTAAATTTTGACATTTTGAAGAAAAATTACTGAGTCAATCTACACATAAGACTGTTGAGTACTTCATACTAACTAAATTTCATTGAAGATAAGATTAGCTTTTTCGCAGATTCTGTAATAATTAAAACGAAATTCTGTTTATAAGGTCTTATAGTGCTAGGTTTGAAACTATTACGAGTTCACTTAATCTGCGAACAGGAACAACACTTGGTGACCAAAGACCAGTAAGCTAGCTATTGACGCGTCCCAGCCCCGCTAACTAGAGCGAGAAGTTCAAGCTTGGAATAGGAAGCATATTCTGCAAACAGCCAGAAACGAGCGATAACAACAAACACAATTCAAAACGTATATACATAGTGCAAAACCGTCCTTGGGAAGAGTTACCAAATCGCATACTAAAAGACTCAACAGACCAATATCATTTAAAATAATTCGCAGTAGGAAATACGACATGAAGGTGAAAAGAGCGCCTTTGGCGCTCTTATATTCTATAAAATCAATACCCATTTTAGACTAATTTTGATCTTGATTAAATTCCTTATTCTGATTCACCTATACATGATTAAAAATTTCTTTAAAAAATATCTTGGAAACTACAAGAACACATGAGATAAACACTCAAAATCAATAGAAATCAATTAAAATTATTAAATAAATAAATAAATTATTATTATTATTATTACTGCTACTTTGATGTATGTTGTTTATATCGACAGATATAAGTAGTATATAACACTAATCAGAAATGAAATATCTGGCGATAGCTGATTGAGAAGATCGAATCTAAAACAACAAGAACAAATACTAGTTGTTATGGCGATGAAGGGATGATAAAGTTTAAGACATGATACATTTGCAAATGACATATGGAACGTATGGTTTTTACATTTTATTAAAGAACTCTATAATTTTGTAATAAAATACTTTGGTTGTCCCCATCTATGTTCTCGTTCATTATATGACTACTACTACTACTACTACTACTACTACTACTACTACTACTACTACTACTACTACTACTACTACTACTACTACTACTACTACTACTACTACTACTACTACTACTACTACTACTACTACTACTACTACTACTACTACTACTACTACTACTACTACTACTACTACTACTACTACTACTACTACTACTACTACTACTACTACTACTACTACTACTACTACTACTACTACTACTACTACTACTACTACTACTACTACTACTACTACTACTACTACTACTACTACTACTACTACTACTACTACTACTACTACTACTACTACTACTACTACTACTACTACTACTACTACTACTACTACTACTACTACTACTACTACTACTACTACTACTACTACTACTACTACTACTACTACTACTACTACTACTACTACTACTACTACTACTACTACTACTACTACTACTACTACTACTACTACTACTACTACTACTACTACTACTACTACTACTACTACTACTACTACTACTACTACTACTACTACTACTACTACTACTACTACTACTACTACTACTACTACTACTACTACTACTACTACTACTACTACTACTACTACTACTACTACTACTACTACTACTACTACTACTACTACTACTACTACTACTACTACTACTACTACTACTACTACTACTACTACTACTACTACTACTACTACTACTACTACTACTACTACTACTACTACTACTACTACTACTACTACTACTACTACTACTACTACTACTACTACTACTACTACTACTACTACTACTACTACTACTACTACTACTACTACTACTACTACTACTACTACTACTACTACTACTACTACTACTACTACTACTACTACTACTACTACTACTACTACTACTACTACTACTACTACTACTACTACTACTACTACTACTACTACTACTACTACTACTATAATTGTGATTTATGAGTATTTGATTTGTTATATTTACTCCCCGAAATAAAAGGCCTAAATTCTTTAATGCTTTTCTAGATAATTCTAGAGCAGAATCTAAAAATAAAATTTCAATGAATGTAACTAATTACTGATTTACTGAATTGATTTTATTTAATTAGTCAATATATTAGATACCCTTAAATGAATAATTGTGATTTATTGTTTTATCCAAATCAACTATTGATCATTGATCATAAATTTTATTATTTTAATGATAAAACTGTTTGTTTTTTTAAAGTTCGATCGAATTTGTTGGGTTTTGTTTTGTTTCCCAACGATTCCTATTCTGTATTTACTGTACATGTACATTTATAGTGATTTGTTTTGTTCTTATATAGAACATTTTACATATGTATGAATTTTTATTGTTGTTGACTATATACAGAAAGTACCGTTGTTTTTTTTATTTTTTTAAAATCTATCATGTGGTTGATCTGATATTATTGATTAATCTAAGTTATAACGGATGGATTCAATGGATCAACTAACCTATGAATAGGAACAGACATTTATTAGACTAGCACAGGAATATCATTATTAAAGAGTTAATAAATCTCAATGATCTTCATATCGAGTTACAGTGATTTGTCGAAAATAAAATTTATTTTCAAGTCAAGATCAGATATGATTAAGGGTGGATAAGGGATCATTTATAATCTTTATGAAATGGAAAGAAAACATAAGATAGACATTAGTTTCATAGTATTAATGCTTATTTATAGGAGAAAATGATTAATGATTATTGTATGTCTTCTTAATAAACTAATTATTTTTTATTCAGTATTGAGATCACAAATTGACCGAACTTACACAACTAGTTGGACAACTGTTTGGTCATAGTGTATGATTCTTCAGTTGAGTACAATCTAGACTCAACTGGAAATCAAATCTAAGGTATTCAATTCTCTAGACGAACGCTTAACTCTTAGACAACTAAGCTGGTACTCAGTTATTGTGAAATTTAACGAATCTATTGAAATTACATATGTATACCATTGGATACCAAATGAACTATCTAAACTTTAAACTCTTATCAAGAAACCTGAATCTCATGGGTTTGATCACAGTTAGGTTTGTGGATCCTTACTACTGGATACTAGAATGAAAAAAAAAAACTATTTAGCACTTTATTGTTTACAATAGTTGTCTAAATAAGATCAATTCATGAAATAATCTGTGAAATATAAACCATTCTCTAAGTAACCGGATAATTATAATGAGAATATCTATCTTTAGGACTTTTGATCATCATAAGTGGAATCACCAGTATCTACGTTGAATAATAAAATGAATAGTTATATATTATTTGTACCAATTAATAATAAGAATTTATCATTTGTAGTAGGCTTAATAAACATCCTATTCTCTCATTAATAACATGATGGAATCTCCAAACCATATTGTAACACATGATTATTCGATTCTCATTAAAACTACAAGTCTAACAGTCAGCTAATTTGACTATATTCAGTATTAATAAATCTTTGTTCAGTTGTGTACATATAGCATGGTTATCAATTGTCATTGCTTTTCTAGTCCAGGTTTGTTAAGCAAAATGTTTATTTTCATATTACAGAGATTTTCATTATATAGATTTTCATCCCAGAATGGGGATTTGTGAAGATTGTAGTAATTTAATAGTTGAATTCATGAGTCTAGCTAAGCTAGACCACCCTTGAAAACTTGGAAGAATTGAACAACCGTTTCATTTTAGTATGGGACTCTTCATAAATGTGCATCCACGATCCTGCGTGTGGGATTCGAACTAAGCACCTTCAGTCTCTGGCGTGAACGCTTACTCCCTATACCACTGATCCGGCATTCAACGGACTTAATATCTAACACCAACATCAATCGCGCGACTGTCTTCAACTACCTAGCTTATATCGACCCATGGATTTTTATTTCAAATAGATTGTTTTATTCATGGGAATATTATGAATATCTCTTCATAATCAGTCAAATTATGAGAAATTTCTCATTTATTGAATGAATACTTTATGTCATGATTAGTAAAGATTTAAATGAACGTTTTACTGATATTCAAGGAACTGTAAATGATTAATTTCCATTGACATACCTACATCTTCAATGCGTTACACACTGACATTCGACGCAAAAGATACTTGGTTGAAGTCTCCGCATCTGTATTAACACTTTGATATCAAAGTGCATTCAGCTGATGAATTACAAATTGGACAAAAATGAATATCTTACAGTCCACTACTGATCTCGATTCAACTTTTCAATGAATAGCTATATGGAGATACATATAATCTCAATAGACACTGATTAATTACAACGGGATATTATAAAGCATCGCTAATTCACAACATTTAGTTAGAACTGGTGTCAATACCGAACAATCAATACACTTCACTTTGTATTGTATTGTTTGTATCTTCCTATTGATGTTTAGGACCGCAATTGATCAGTCTTTTATTAACAGGTATGTATCCTGTACTGATTGCCTGAATATTGCCTTAAGTCACAAACATTATAAACAAAGATGGATCGTGACTGACAATGGAATTCAGGAGGTGAGTTTCACCCTATTTGAGACTTGTCAGCTATGGGCAAACATCAACTCTGGGACATAGGTACATCCAACTGATAAGTCTCAAATAGGACTAAACGTGCCTTTTCGATTCCACTGCTAGCCACTAACCATCTTTGCATATAATCAATACGATTGTTTCATATTGAAATTTCGCTACATAAATTTATTTTATTACACGAATCAGTCGGTCAGCTACAACGCAGGACCAGGCACATATATACATCGGTCCAAGTTGCCATACCTCATTAACACAACAAGAGGAACACCGGATTCATAAAAGTAATTAATTCAGTGGCGGTAATATATAAAAGAAAGATTGAATATAAGGATATAGTTCAGGAAGAAAGAATTAGTTCATAGAAAGAAAAATATGAAACGATTTTAATCTCATAGTTTAAAGGAAGACAAAGAGTGTTTACACCTACGCCATTGTGGTCCATTCTGAGCCATGTCATCCAGAGTCTCCAACCATTGGTTACGATAGTCACGCGGACCCCAACCAAGTAGTCTGCATCTCCCAACATGGCTCAGACTAGAAGTTGGTGACTTCAAGCACTGATGCCATGTTTTGGTTTGGCCGCCTCTAACTTTCTTCAAACCATCTCCAACATCCGTTTGCATTGCACGTCGTGGTAATCGGTGTTCAGGCATACGTAACACGTGGCCCAGCGAACTCAGTCGATGAAGATTCACAACTTCATCAACTGACTTACCATCATTCCCTAATACCCTGCGTCTAACCTAACGAATATATATATATATATATAATAGTTAGACTGAACCTAATTAAATTATCCCGGTTGTATGGTTGATCTCATAATGGTAATTAATAATAATAATCATTAAAATGTGAATTCATTCTCGATTCACTGATACCCAAATGTGTAATTAAACATAGTAAAACTTAAAAAAATTAATGTACAATCTTTTGTAGGGAGAAAGTCGCAAAAAAACAGACTTTTTCCAGAAAAAGTCTTTCAATATCAGCTTAACAATCAATTTTTTTTAATTATTTTTATTGGTGAAATGAGACATAATTTTGATTTGAAGAAAGCGATAATACTACTACTATTAATAATAATACTACTAATAATAATTTATGATTAATGGCATGCTGGCATCGATCTGCACTACATAATTGTACCTAAAAAGAAAGGAGAAAAAACTATTCGGATGAGAATGATTAATAGATGTTTTTCTTTTCTTTTCCACTCCACCTCTAATTTAAAAGTTACTATTTAAACAGACCAATTAAACTATGAATAATGGTATTATATTTATTGACAAAATCAATTCTGGGCATTGGTAATGATATATGACTGATTAGATCTTTAGTTTTGATTTGTTTTATAGATTATATCATATACATTGATATAAGCTATACCATTATTCAGGGAGTATTGAATGGTTATTTCGTCCTAGTATGAAACAACTCAGTAGGGAGAGGTTACGATCCAAAACAGAAATGAATCAAAGAGATCTGGTCTCTCTACGAACGCCTAACTATTTGACGATTGAACTGGAATCCAATATTGTACGTGTCTAATTTAAATTAACTCACAATCCTAATCAATCATCTTCTATTCCCTGTAATCGATAAATATTGGACAACCAATATGATTGAACTTCATTAGATATAGCTTCTTGTTAAAATTTCTGAGTTTGATTCATGGTGAGGTTGTTGATGCTTACTACCTAGTACTCCCATACTAGAATGAAACGACTATCTAGAGTTTCCTGGTTTTTACTGATTGTCTAATTAGCTAGCGTGCAATCAAAAGCATGAAAATTCACCAAAATCCACATATACCCCATTTTGATCGCTTCGAATTTCTTCAAGAATTCTGTTTATTACTTAGGCTTATTTTAAATGAAGAAATAACTTAGTCAGTTACTTTAAAATATAGCTGCGTAGCGATTAGTATCATATTATTGTCCAGTTCTTGAACGCTAACTAAATTCTATTAACTAAGTCCTTAGTAGATCGATAATAAAGCCTGGAAATATGAAACTGAGTAACGGGGTTTCAGATTCACGAAGGAACATAAGTTCTCTGTTAACTAAAGGTATATGTTGTTAATAAATGCTAACAAGCATGAAATCTAATTCACACAGCATGTAATTCTGACTACCCCGAACCAACTAACAATAGAATAAGTCATTTTAAAAGTATATAACTTATAATTGTGTTGAAAATTCTAGATCCCCAGAAATCACTTGGTAAACGTCTCATTTCTATCACTTTATTTTGGGAATTTGAATTTCCCATTTTCGCACCAAAAGCACTCACTTTCACCTTCAGTTTATATTTCACACTTAGAAGGATCTTAAATGTCATTGGTTCATTTCCTCTTTTAGTACGCTATTCTGTGGCGTTTTCTAAGAACATTTTTGCAATGTATATGTACATATGAGTTGTGTGCTTTTTCTTTCGTGCTTTTGGGTTT